GTCTCCCGGCTTTACTCGTCTTCTGCCAGAAAGACCGCTGTAATAACAGGGACAAATAACCCGGGACGACGTTTTCAGACTGAAATCCGTCCGTCCCGGGAGCAGCTCGGTGGGGGACGCGGGGACAGTGAGCGTCCGGGAGCGCTGGAAGAAATATTGCAATGAGTTGGAAACATTCGAGTTCCTGTTTCACCGGTGAGGCTGGGAAGAGCTTGTTTTTCCAACCTCGGGGTGCCCGCCGCGCCGTGGAACGGCGTCCTCGAGGCAGGAATTCACAGGCACCGCTTCGGCATTTTAGGCGACACGTGGCTCCAAGTTCCCTTCAAACGGATTGATTTTATTTGGCCTCCTGCTCCCCCACCCTGCCCTCGAACGCGGCTCCTCGGTAGCATCTGAAAGGCCCCCGCTCCCATTTGCAATTAAAGAGTTTATTGAGGAGGGGAAAACCGGTAATTAGCAGGAATATTCCCCCCTCCCCGGTTCCACCTGCAGGGCAGGAGTGCAGCTGGCGGAATGGCTTCCAGCAGGGACCTGACGCTCCCGCACAAGTTTTGCTTTGTTTTTGCGGTGCCCTTCGGTGCCAGGGCTCCCGGGGCTCCCCGGGACGGGTCCGCACCTCCAGCGGGGACGCCGCGCTCCCCTCGCCCCAATATTTTATGGAATGTTTAGGAAGGCGTGCGTTTCTCCCTCTCTCCATATTAATCTCATTAAATCCTACCTTTCAACCTTCTTCCGTGACCATCTGACCTGGCCACTTGAATTAAAATAGTGCTTTCTCCGCAGTCAAAGCCAGCACATCAATCACCGGCTATTTACACTTCGCTCCTCTCTTCAAAGCGGCTCTGCCCGGGCTCTCGCTACCTCCGCTCCGGGGGGGTGGGCAGGTCCTGCGGGGCTCCCCGACGCTCCGGGGGTGTCTGTCCTTCCTCTCCCCCCTTTCCTCGGGTGTCTCCCGGCTTCCCCGTCCCTGGGGAGCGCTGCCCCGGCGCGCTGCTTTCCTTCCACCTGGAAGGCGGAGGGGAGCGGCCGCCCTCCCTCCCCGTCCCCTCCCGACGGGGTGCGGGGCCCGGGGCCCTCCCGACGTGGGGGCCGCGGCCCGGGTCGAAACACCCGCAAACACCGACAACCCGAGCGGGGGAGAAGGGGAGAAGCCGCCGAGCGCCGAAACATTCTGGTAGAAACACGAGAAATGCCGACAAAACACAACAGCGCAAATTCTGTTATTTTAAAAGTTGTTTTTCTTAAAGTTAGGCGAAATGCCCCCCCGAGGCAAAGGGGGAGAGAAAGGAGAAGAGGGTTAAAAAAAAAGGAAAAAAAAAGGGAAGAAAATAAAGACAGACGCTGGTTGAAAACTTTACGTAAAAAAATATTTTTCAGACTAAAAACAAAAGCATGTCTAAACTACGACTGCAAGATGACATCTGTTAAACTCTCTTCAGCATTGCTATTTAGTAGTAGTAATAATAGTAGTAGTAATAATAATATAATGATAATCACCTCTTTATAGGATGGCACCTTGATCCTTAAATATTGTCCAGTGTGTAAGGTCAGTGTGCGGAGGGTGAGGAGCGGAGAGGGCTGATTTTTCTTAAAGGGGCAGATCAGGGGAAGGCTGTGATGGGTGCTGGGAGAGAGGAGGGGGCAGAGATAAGTGGTCTGAGGAAGAGGATAGGACAGGAAAAAAAAAAAAAAAAGGCAAAAAAAAAAAAAGCCCAAACCAGGCTGATGATGATGAATACATTGGAAAGTTTTTTTGGCCCTGGTGAGGGTGTCAGATTGAATGCTCTGTGCGCATGTGCGAAGGTGTCCAAACTGACAATGCTGGGGAGATGAAGATAGTGTGTAGCTGCTTCTGGGCTCAAGGAGGAGGAGAGGAATCCACACGCCGACACGATGAGATCCAAGGCGAGGGCGAGAAAACTGCCCAAAAGTAGGTCCTTTCTCTCCCTTCTTCCGCGCGCCGGCGGCGGGGCCGGGGTTGCGGAGCCGGGCCGGGGGCTGCGGGGCTGCGAGCCCCTCTCGCCCTCCCCGGCGGCCGCAGCCCCGCCGCCCTCCCGGCCCGCCCGTGGGCGCGGGTCCCCCCGCGCTGCCCCGCTCGGCTCCGCGCTGCCCCGCGCCCCCGCGCTGCGGCGGGCGGCGCGGGCCGGGGAGAAAAGCGAAAGTTGAGCTGAAGTTGACGAAAGGGGATAGCAACTTTTTTTTTTTTTTTTTTTTTTTTTTTTTTTTTTTTTTTTTTTTTTTTTTTATTGAGTCGTTCCAAGTCTTTGAAATAATATTCCCGGGTCTCTGAAATAGTGGGCGCTAGAGGTGGACTGCGTTTGGCATCTGCCGGCGGGAAGCGGAGAGACGGAGCGCTGGAGAGAGGGAGAGAGAGAGAGAGAGACAGGCAGAGGCAGACGGGGGGGTGGGAGAAACCCTTCTGGTCTCGGGAACAATTATCGAGCAGAGGGAAGGAAGAGAATTTGTAGCAAAAATGGATCCGCTCTCAGTGAGGGGCTTTGGAGTCGCAGGTCCAGAGGGAAGATCCTGAAGGCAGCTCGGGTGTCCCAGCTGGGGGTTAAGAAGGTCTGGGGGAGGGGAGTGTGGGGGAGTGTCTTTAATTTTTAATTTTTTAAAATTTACTTGGGGGTGGAATTGCAGCTCGTAAGTCTCGCGCAGCTTTTCCCTCCGTCTTCTAGCGGACCCTTTCCCGTTCTTTCGTTCGAGTCGTTTTTAGAATGGATTTTCCGAGGAGGAGAGTGTGGCTTTTGTAGGGAAGAGCGGGACTTCTCTGTCCCCGCTCCCGCAGAGTCCCGTTGCAAAGGCTCGGGCTGGTTCCTCGCCGATTCCCTCTTAGGCTCGGTGCAGCTCAGGATCCCGGAGCCCGGGCAGCTTTTCTGTCCTCCCTTTGTATATTATTATCACTATTACTACTACTATTATTATTATTACTACTATTATTATTTAGTTTCTGTTTCGCTCTGGCTCTGTGCGAAATATCTGGAGGCTGCAGAAGTTCCAGCGCAGTCTGTGCCCCGCTAGAAACTCTGCTCGTAGTGCCCGGAGGAGGCTCCGGGGAGTAGCGGCGGCTGCTCCGGCTGGACCCGCGTGGGTTTCCACGGGAGCCTCCCGGGGGATGTGGAGGCGCCCAGAGCCGGGCGGGGGAGGCGGGTCCCTGCACCCCCACTCCGTGAGCCCCCCGCGGTGGGAGGGATCCCCCCAGGTGAGGGGGCAGCTGGCGGCCTGCCGGACACCCTTCGGGCGTTCAGCTTCAAACCGTGGGCTGGCGGAGGGTCCCGGGCGTTCGCGGCGCTCGCACACGTGGGCTCCGGGGTTCATTTTGTCGTTCAAGTTCGTTGTTCGGAGCCGTTTCCAGCGGCCAAGGTCAGCGGGCAGGTCTGGTCCCGGCCCCTCGCCATGAGCCGCAGTTCCCCTTCCCGGGGGGGACGCGCCCGTTCCAGGGGGATCCCGTTCTCCAGCCCCAGCGCGGCTCCTCGGTCCAGTTTTCCTCCCAAAGTCGCTCTGTCGCCGGGTTTGTCGCCGGCCCCGAGCTCCGGCCGCCGCTCCCGTTTTGCAGCAGCCCCAGGCCTCGCGATTTACCTTCGTGTAGCGACATTTTCCGTCGCGTTCCACGAAGGTCCCCCCGCTCCCCAGCCGTGTCCGTGTGCCCCCCGCACACCTTCCTCGGCTCTGCGGGCACAAACCCTGCTCAGGGTGGGATTGGTTACAGTTTCCGTGGTCAACACTGTCAGCACATCGCTGCGACGAAGTTTTTTTCGATTAATCCTGGAATTTCATTTCATTTTTTTTATTTTTCAGTAAACACCCGCTTTAAACGCCCCCATTCAAATAATAACTTTTTAAAAAGTCATCACTTATTGCTTTAGGTTGTTAAAATGAAGAGTAATTTTCACAGCTCTCTTGGCTGGAAAAGCGAAGTTGAACGGTTGAATAAAGTGGAATATTTCTTTTATTTTTATTCTTTTCTGTTTTTTTCTCTTTTTTATTTTTTTCCTCCCCTCCTTCTCTTTCTTTTTGCTGCTGTGTTTGCAGATGTGCCCGGGGGGTGCAGCGCGGGGCCGGGTTTTTGCAGATGTGCCCCTGTGGGCGCGATGCGGGTCCGGCCGCGCTCAGCACGGGTGGGACCCGCCACGCTGCCCCGGCTCCCCCGGGGAGCTCTGCGAGCTTCTGCAGCTTAGGGACTGGGAGGTTTTCGGTGCCTGGATATCTTGAGTGCTCGGAGAAGAGCCGGGAGCTCCGTGCCCGGGAGCGAGCCCTTCCCGGCCGCGGGAGCCGCGGAGCGGCCGCGAACGCGCCTGGAAAGCGCCTGTTCGGAGGCTGAGCCCTGATTAAAATCAGGTGTTTAATACAATACGAGGCCCAACGGTTTATGGGGTTTCAGCTGAGGATTTTTTAGGGATCACAGTTCAAAACAGTAGTCCGAAGCTAAGGTTTCAGTATCCCAGGAGTATTTATTTGCGAAACAGATTAAACACGGACACGAGTGTGGGGATCTCGCCGTGTTTCCACCGGCGAGGTAGCGAGAACTTGGGTTAGGGCTCGGAACCCCGCAGGTCCCTGCCCAGCTGCCCTTCCGGGGCTCTCCGGCCCCACGAGCGGGTGCGGGTGCCGTGAGAGCCCGCACGGCCCCCGGTGCGCGGCCGCCGAGCCGAGCGGGGCGCGGGGCAGTAGAAACACGGTGTGCCGGAGAATTTCATTTCATTGGACAATATTTTAAGCAGATGTGAGGCTCCGCTGGGAATTCGACTCTATTACCTGGCTGGGAAAGGGGACGAACGCGTGTGCGCTGGGGTGGGAGAGGAATTCTCGGCAATTTTCAGTCCGGCTCCCCGGGACAGCGGCAGGTACCGGAGGCAGCGGAGCTGAACCGGGGCCGGGAATGGTTTTCGCTCGCTTTGTGGCTTCCCTCTGGCTTGGGAGCCTCGAGTAATGGCTGTAAATCAAAAGCCGAGGCTCGGGCAGGGTGCGGGTGGCGCGCTAGCAGGCCCCGGGTGCCCAGCCGTGAGCGGGGCCCCTGCAGCCCCCTGGTGTGCGCAATCCCACCAGGGCCGGGCTGTGCCCGCGGGCTCCGGGGGGATGTGCGGGACGGGCAGGCAGGAGAAGGGCAGGCAGGAGAAGGCCACGCCGCGTCCCGGCTCTGCGGGCCTCGCCCTTCAGCGAGAAAATAAAATATGGGTGAGTGGGGAGAAGGTCCTGCAGCGGCCGAGGGTCTCGCTGCTGCTGGCGAGAGGGTGCAGAGGAGGCAAACAACACCGGAGTTGGGTGCTGCACGCCGAAAGCAAATTCGTTTCCTTTCGAAATCCCTGAATTTCAGAGTGCGAATATAATTCCCAGCCACACACGGCTGGCCAGGATCGCAGGCTCTAAATAAGTGCTCGTACTGGCAAACGGTGGCCAATATTTCTACGGTCCCGTTTGCTTTTCACTATTAGGAATATGACCGAGGCAAAGTTTGGAGACGGAGTTTTCAGGCAGAGCCGGTGCATCCTGCGGGCAGGTTCGAGTGGCAGGGAAATGGTTGTGAATCCAGCCCTGCTCTCCCCGGGACCTGCTTCTCGATTTAAGGCTTCGCCTTTGAGGAGGAGACAGGCTTCCCGTATACTGATATACATATATATACATTATATATATATATAATTAATTTTTTTTTAGATTAAGGGTGATGAGACTGTGGAGGGAAAAGGGAGCGGGAGAGCAGCGCAGGCAGAGGCTGCAGCCCAAGCGCCACTTCCCGGCGTGCGGCTCTGTTTGTGCTCCCACAGACGGTTCCAACGCTGGAACACACGAAGGAGGAAAATTTATGGCGCTTTCGGCCGCTTAGGCTTTTTTCCCATTTCCAAGCCTTTTCCTGCGCCCTGTCCCTACCCAGAGCTCCTGGCCCCGAGGGCGGACATCGGCCCCGGAGAGAGCCGTGCCCGGCCCGGCTCCCCCTTCCCTCGGGACCGGGAGCTCGCCGGGGGCTCTCCGGGCTCCTCTCCCCCGGGACGCGCGCGGGTGCGGAGCCCCGCAGATGCGGGGCCGCCGCCGGGTCCCCGCCGTCGCTGGGTCCCCCCCCGTCCTGCCCCGGATCTGTTCAATTAGGCAATTAGGGATGCTGGGCAGGGAAGGGGGGGTTGATCCGCTAATTAAGGTGATGTGTAATTAGCGCTTCAACAAAAATTGCCGAGGATTTAGGATCGCTTTACTCTTAAAAAAAAAAAAAATTATCCGAATTCTGCAAATATAATTTATCAGTTCCCCCACCCGGCCCGCGTGATTTATTTGGGAAAAAGCACAGAGGGAACGAGCGCAAAGCGCGTCCTCTCCTTGGCCTGGGCAGGAACTTGGCAAAGGGGGATCGAGCCGGGGCTCTGACGTGAGGACTGGCTGCTCTCGCCCGCAGAGCAGCAGCTCTGAGGTGCCAAAGTGCCAAAGGAGACGCAGGAATCGGGGATTGAGCCCTGGCCTGCGATAACGGCCGCGCTCGTGGGTGTCCGTGCCCTCGGATGAAGTGCCTGTGATGTCTATCCACGTGTGTTTACATCACAGGGCACTGCCGTGTGCGTGTACGAATGTAAGTTTATAAAGTGCATCAAAGACAGGCACGTTATTCCAATTTCACTGAATTCCCGTGTCCTATAAAACCTCCGTGTCGATGCAAAACGGGTCTGTGCAGATGCATTTGTCTGTCGAGCCGACAATGCACATACAGAGGTCTTACAATACACAGTAAAATCACAGGTACTGTGTGGTCAGGAACCAGAATGTTGTGTGCAGAAAGTGGGCTGAATTTGTATTTAAAAAAATTTGTTTAGCACCTAAAGCTGTTTTTATTTTTTAGACTTTGTGCTGGAACTGCTGTGTCAGTTCGGTGATGGCAAATGAGGTCTTTAATGAGCCAAAGGGAAAAAATAAAACAAGTGCATTCCTAAGGGTTGCTATTAAAAATAC